CATTTTTCCTGTTTGTCCCACACAGGCTTATAAGGCTGATGTCTCTGCTTGGCCCTGAAGGCGTGTAACATCGCTTTGCAAGGTTCGAAAGCAATCAGTGCGCGCGTCGAGATCTTTACAAGCTATAAAATGCTCTGCTAGAGCATCTAAAGCAGAAGATGTCGGCGGCGAATGCGTCCATGACTCCACCTTCGGCAAAGGATGACTTCGCCCGATCCAAGCCGCACATTGCGAGTGCTAAGACCATAGAGGGCAAGGATGGAGATAACCTCCTGCTTTGGGTGAGAGAGGTCGAGATGGCAATGGCGTCCACCATGCTCAGATCGAACAACAGCGCGTGGCGCTAGCTATCTCCAAAGGGTCGAATGGGTACTGACGTGCCGCATTTCGTTCGAAGCGGCGGTTCCCTCCTGGACGGAGCTGAAAATGCAGCTTTCACGAGTGTGTTCGTCGCCAAACCAGTCATACAGCGTGCGATCGCATTTTCTTGTCGCCCGACAGGGCAAGAAGGAATTGGTGATTTTTGTCTAAGTATTGCGTACTCTCATTGCCGGAATGGCAGTCGATTCTCCCCCGAGGCGGTCGGAGTGATCGTCTTAAGATATTCACACACAATTGTGGCTGAAGGGGTGCGTACGATAGTTACGCGAAAGAACTAAGCCTCAAGGTAACGCTACCTCAGCACAAGAGTGCGTGTAATTAGCTGTCCCGTTACACCTAGTAGCATTTTGTGGTCAATCCACCGCCGAGATTGAAGATGTCCGATTTCAGCTATCAGACTGCATGTAGTCGACCTTGTTGGACAAGTCACGACAAAGGTCACAAGTTCTCTTCGGAGCCGACCATCATGATACACATGGTGCATCGTGTTCCCGACTCCAACGGCCTCAGATGTCTAAGTGATGATGCTACTATCTCCACGAAGCGTAGTCACCCCAAACATGCTGAAGATGCGGTAAAGACTTTCTTCGGAAAGCAGGAAGAAAAACTTCACTTTTGGCTCCGCCAAGTGGATGTGGCATTGGCAGCAGCGCTGGTTTACGAGCATTGTCGGCGACGCTGGTTTACGAGGAGTCACAGAAGGTCGCATTTGCACTTTCGCATATGCAAGGTGCTGACCGTGAATGATCTTTTTTGTGGGAGATTAACTATCCTGATTATTTTGCCTCTCGGAAGTTCCTCCAAGAATCGATGGAGAAGACGTTTCTTTCATTGAATGCGGCGTTTAAACACCGCGCGATGTTTTTGAGATGTCGTCAAGACAAACTTTTAATTTACGACTCGCACAAGAACTTCGCAAGTTGCGAGCGTCGATGGCCGACGATTCGAATCCGGAGGACGTGATGGTAACCGTCTTAAACTAGTGATCGGCCCTCCAAAGGCTGAAGTCTCTTGTCGACATACGACCGAGCTTGAAGATGCAATCTTCGTCGACCTTCAGAAAATCAGCTCCAGCAACAGTCGCGTGGGTTACTCACTGGTCCCACCAATGTGCAGCCGCCGTCAAGTGGTGGTCCTGAACCCATGGACCTGTCTGCGATTGATCGCTTCAGATAATCTGTTATGGTTGTGGTCGAGTGGGTCACTTTGGGCGGGACTGCCTCGGGAAGATTTATAGGTCCAAACCAACTTGTGTATTACCACCTCTCTCTACTTTCGTTGAGGAGTTTGGGGTTCAGACGTGGTGGCCGTTCGACCAATTTTCGCAGCGGTAAAGAAGATCCATCCCTTAACAACGCCGATGTTGTTACCCCTTCCGGTGAGGTTACCCCGGGGCGGCTTTCCTGGGTAAGATCCGCAACATTCTCCTGCGCTTTTATTATGCAGGAGAAGCCGTTGCTTTAGGGTAATTTCGACTTCCCACGAACGTGGGGAGGAGGTGAGGCCTTCTCAATGTTTGACAACGGTGAAGGGGATTGGGACACCCTTCGAGTTCTTATTGACTCTGGACCACCAACGTAATACGCTCGGAAGATGAGTATCACGTAGAATCGGCTCTTTTTGATGCGGTATGCGCGAAGAATAATGGTAACATTCGTATCCATCATGCATGAGTACGATTGTTACGTAACAGAAGGGCGAAGTCGATCTAACATTCAAATTCTCGATTTTTGACTTCAGTTCGATGCTCTCCGTCATCAATACAGATGATCGGTATGTACTTGTATTAGGGTATGCGTGGTTAGAAGACCACGAGCCATAAATCAACAGAAGAAACAGGCAGATTGCGAGTAGCTCGCCGGGCAGAAAACACGCCTACGGACGTCACGACCCGTTTGTAGCCGTCCACCAGCGTAGCAACGTCGCAATCGAAGATAGAGCTCACTATGTTAGTATTTGCGGCATAGCTGTGAAGCCGCAAGTCACCAAGAAGGTGCGGATTGTGACGTCAAAACAAGGTATTGCTCTAGTCGATATACCTACTGTGAAAACCCATGATTCAGTAGTTCAAGTTACTGTGGAAGCTCTTACTCCAGAAGCCAAGTCTAGTGTGAAAGCCCACTATGCTTCGGCGACTAAATCTACCGTGTAAGCCAATATTTCAGTAGATGACACCATCATGGAAGCACGTTATGCTTCAGTAGGCAAATCTACTGAAGAAGCAACAGCTTCAATAGCTAACGCTACTGTGGAATCACCATAAACTCTGGTAGGAAGCCACTACTGGGGAAATTAAAATTCCAGTACCTAACGCTACTGTGAGAGCACAGCATTCTCCGTTGGTACGACATATCGTGGAAGCTAAAGCTCCAGTACATAAAACACTGTGGGAGCCCACAAGCTTAATTACAACGCTCCGGCAGGCATTTCTACCGTGGAAGCCATCGCCCCCGTAGTTGAATCCCAGGTGGAAGCTAATGCTTCAGTGGTTCAACCCGTACGCGTTGTGAACGCAGAGACGAGATTACCCGTCCAGACTTAAATGTCCCCACTTCAAGAACTATCTGCTCTCACGAGCTTGAAAGAAGTAACCTTTTTCAAGTCACGTGGAGACTTCAGGAATGGCGCGCTTGTCAAAGTCGTTATAATTCGTCGTGCAAGCGCAGCAACAGAAGAGATTAATACGTCAACTGTCCGGGTCCAAGTGTCGTTGAAGATTTTCGACAGCGATTTCAATCGAGACACAGATCAATTTTTCAAGAATCCGCGCGATACCTATTTAGCCCTTGTGTCCAAGTACACGTCAGCGTGTGTGAGTCTGGAGCTCCAACACGGTCTCCCGCAAAATTGCGGTATACGACATGAGATCGAGATTGAGCCAGGTGCAAGATATCTGCTATTGTGTCAATGGCCATTGCCAACTGATCAATCCAAGTTCGTAGACTCGTTCTTTGCAGCTAAATAGCAACAAGGGTGAGTGAGGGAGAGTAAATGTCCTCACTGCTTTTTTTATTTGTCTAATTGTCGCAAATTTAGATGCACAGCTCGTGTCTGATCCTCACAGCACAAAAGTTTTGTTTTGTCTCGGCTGTTAAGTTGTAGACTAGACTAATAGAGTGCAACGTGACTGCCTTGCATTCCGCACAGATGAAATTTGACTCAACGAGTCTGCGCTAACAAATACACAGAAAATTGGATTTGTTTCCAACCTGCGAACTTCTAAAGAATGTAGACTTTAAGGGTTGCTCTTCTTAATTCGAGAGTGGTAAATAGCTGGAATTGAGCTCAGTATTAACTAATACGCAATAAAAGTCGACAATAACAATAACCTATGTATTGTACGGCGCGAGGCTAGCAGCTTATGCGATTTGTATGCCCCTTTTTTTCGGAGCCCGAGCTCCTCATTCGTATCAAAACTGATCATGATATTTAATGGGAATGCCCTTTTGAGAATAGCTCTACGTCTGAGGGAATCTAGTGGCTGCTTTTTAAGATATACATACTCCAAAACAACAAAGATCCCGCAGAGTTGTTCTTGAAAAGTCGCACTGAGTGGTGATTTACTATTTCTTACCAAGTCATGTCGCGTCATTGACATCACTTCAAAACATCGTCGACGTCACACAAGATCCTTGATAAGTTCTAATAACGTGTGATGCAATAATGGTACCAGTGACCAGGTCACTTCGTGACATCTGGGGAAAAATCACATGCGATGAATCTCTGATTGGCAAGTCATCATATTTATCGAGCGGAAACTTCGATTGATCTGTAGGATTTTTGAGAACAGCTGGCTTCACTTTGCGCCCAAAGCTCTGCTTCTTCCCCCAATAAGAAAGTCGTTCATGGCGGATGATGATATTCGCCTTCTCCTCTGGTACCAACCGTGCCATTTTAGTGACTTCGCGATCTTGCATTACCTTATATATATCCCCTAGGAAAAAAATCCCGGCTCAATAGTAGGTTCAGACAAAGACAGTGAAGGGGTCATACAACATTAAGGACTACCCTGATCATTTCGGGACAACGGTACCATCGCATCATAACAAGGAATTAGCCATCCCTCTTACTTTCGGAGCCGCTCCTTTCGACTCATGACTTGCAGCCGCTTTTCACTTCACCAACTCGGGTACGAAGGATTTCGACATGTAGCTGCTTCAACTCCTCAAGGATCCTGAATCGAGAGACACCAGGTTACGGCTGTTGAGTTTAGGTCTGTACGGAGACTTTCGATGGGAAACACGACGTCGTTCTTATACACCCCACCCAGAGCTAAGAGCTGAAGATAACGACATACAGTTGTTTTTCTTGACTTATTCGGTAATTTTCACGGAGGCCGAGGCAGCTTTGTTCCGACCTCAAAATTGTTTCTTCCTCCTGGCAGGGGCATGCTCATGAGTCGCCATAGCTCCACCGAGTTGTAAGCTATATTTTTCGGTGTCCAGTCGACTTCTGGCTCGTGTATTGTTAGTTAAGCGACTGTTACTATAGAATCGTATATCGAACCCAGATGCATGATGAGACGATGTTGAGCGCTGACAAAATACTTAACATGAGCTTCAACACTTTTACCAGTATCTCCGTCGCGAGACGCACGAATATTGTATCCGTAACTGGCATTAATAATGCATCCACGCATTGCCTACGGCTAGAAAAAAACCGTATTGAATGTGAATGCACGACGCTACTGAAGCAGTTAGAACTTTACAAAGCCCGGGACGTTGATACCATTGACCAACTAGCCTAGACAGTAAGTCTACTGCATTGACTCACTTGACACGCAACGGGTTGTAAGGCCACATTCTGAGAACACAAGTGCGGCGTTCTGTAGAGGCACACGTTTCCCCTCCGATGGACTCGTTGTCTGTGAGCGCTATTTGTAAGTGGCCCGGTAAGCACATGTGGGCGCAAAACTGGTATTGTGGGCTTTGCTGACAATCCGAGCAACGTGGTTCATCTAACTGCAACCTGCAATAACGTACCCAGTAGAGATTAGCCAAGCTGGTCATCGACAAAGTATTTTGCCAATTTACTCGTCAATAATTACTCTATCAGGGAAAGATCAGTTTTTTACAGTAACGTTTTGATAAACATCACTGAAGGTGTTCTGCACCTGATTGGACATATCAGCGGCTGACTAGCCCGCAGAAGATGGCTAAAGAGAGCACATCAATCACGTTGTGGAGGGTACTTGCTGAAGGATTTGCACAAGAAGACGCGATTCTGAGGCAATTTGCTTGCAGTCGGTGAGTTTGCGTTCAAAAATCTGTAACTGCGCAACACCACCAACACCCCGATTATATTAAAAGGCTCGGGTTCTTGGACGCCACCACAAACCGGTTCCAGTATAAGTGGGTGAGGGGCTGTTGGTCAGATTTGCCCAGCTGATATTGGCCCAGCTACACTTTGTTGCAAAACCAGATATGACATCGCAATGAGATTGATCGTCATGCGTTGGGTGTAGAACGCGACGACTGAAGGCTCGGATGTCCAAAGCAGCACATCATAGCTAGAGGCAAGCAAAACACACAAGAATATGTAATGATGCAACAACGTTGTTGGATACACCAAACCTTTCGTCACATGAAGTGTCTGCAGTCTGTAAGACCAAAATTCGACCGCACTGAGTAGGTCGGTTTACGATCGTTGCAAATGGTGGGATTGAGCAACGCTCTTATCATTCAAAAGATAATGCAAATGTATTCTGTGTTTTGCATGAGAATGATGAAGCCATACCACCATTTTCGGAGTCAGTCGGATGTGGAAATCACTGTCGTAGACGGATCGACATCTCTGCCATCATCTGTATCCGAGCTATTCTCTGCTTTAAGGCAGCGATGTAGTTGGCCTGGATAAAACTAGACAGTGCAATGGCAAGATTTAGGGAAACTATCCGGTATCTGACTTGTCTTCATCTTGGTTTTGCCACAAAGAAAGAAGCCCGCGTGGTCCAGCCGAAGGATCAATCACAGCCAGCGTTGCTCGACAATAAATAACATAGCAAACTAAATTTGCGTGGGGCGCTTAGTGGACCGGCGACTGCATACTAGTATTGTCAGAAGTGAAAAGGATACTCAAATTTGGATAAGTCGGGTAGTGTCATGGGATACACGTACTCTTGTATGAAAAGGCAGGTCGCACAAGATTGCGCAACCGTACGAAGGTGTGTATGTTGATAAGGCTTTGCTGTATTAATTAGAAAAAGCTAGAGTTTTGTTTCCTCTAAGCATAGAGCTACGGCAGGCCCACTGCAGGTAGTCTGTAATAATACTTCGTCAAGATGCCCTGCCAAGCCGCCGCCGCTCTATGTGCAGGTGATACTTCTGAGGAGTGATGAACTGCTGGTGGAGAATGAGCTCGTGAAACAGCTTTCTGACACTCAATTAGTTTTTGATGTATGCGAAGGGATACGGCTCAGCTTGGCGAGCAAAGTCAATTGTTTTGAGACCATAATTACGAATTCGCAAATCTTATTGGTTCACATGCAGCTACTATGCTGGGAGTCTAACTTTACTCTTGCCCTTTACCGTATCTGCTCCTCGAAGCACATTTTTGCACCATAAGTCCCGCTCGTTCACTAGACAGATTGATGGCTTCACGAACCTCAGAAAAGCGCGGTCTTCACGACTGATTTCAACGAAAAGTTTCGGTGATGATGCTTTGATGCTCTCTGATGAATGCGGTCACATTGACTGAGTCCTGACCAAAACAAATCTCGCTCGACTTTACGGCCTTGTCTCTCACAAAAAATGAGACGCTCACTGCGCTTTGCTTTTCCACTGCGTGAGTAACGGACTTGAGTACCCTTTTTATCGAGAAGAAGCGTTTTGATACCCCGCCGTGAAGATCACAATGTGGTCCAGCTCAACAATATCGAGCTGTATCTGCCCCAAGAAGCTGAATTTGCTCAACTGCTAAAGCAAGATTCACGCCGACTGAAACTCAATCGACAACGTCGTATTAGATAGAATAATTGTGATCCTTTTAGTGGAACACATACCCGTGGTGGGCAGTAGGTACTGTAATATTGTGTACATACGCTTTTGGCGGGATTGTATTAGAATCAATACGAATACAGGGTCAAAGACAGTCTTTCATGCACCAATACTGGCGTTACCAGACTCCAATTGTCTTTTTGTGCCGTCTCTGACACTTCGGACTTTTGGCGTAGCACGTCCACAAGATATTCTAATACTGTATACACACAGATCATACCTCTCTCAACTAGTAACATTAAATATATTATGAAAAATGATTAGCCGACGTTTACACCGAAGATGACGTTTCTCTCGACGGTTCTTCTACTAGGATCATGCTACTTTCAAACTTGTGTTGACACTTATGGTTGCAGTAAGTATCGCATTATGGAATGTATTGCATACCGCTATTCCATGCATAATGATTAAGTGAATTTGGCAATTCTTTTATCCTCAGCCATTTTATGGTGTGTCCCATGTCTTAAATTTTTTGTAAATATTGGTATCAACTGTTGAGGGCATAGATTTATTCATAAATTAACATTCAAATGGCAGAAATAGTGGACGTACCCGAGGCGAGTCTGCGCAATCTAATCGCACAGAAGTCACTGCAATGGATCTTTGTTGGTGGAAAAGGCGGAGTAGGTAAGACTACCACGTCCTGTTGTCTGGCTATCCAGCTAGCAGCGCAACGTGAGAAGGTGCTCATTGTGTCCACAGATCCTGCACATAATCTCAGGTATGCTTTTGATTGTACCATCCCTCACTTTGACAACAAATGTAATATTGTGGTTTCGTTCAAGTGATGCATTTGGGCAAAAGTTCACGCGAGAGCCAAAGCCCGTAAACGGGATCTCCAATTTGGCAGTGATGGAGATCGACCCGAATGTGGACGTAAGTAGTTCAACGTAAAGCTTATAATTGTCTAACCAACTTAAATCCTGACATTTACTGCTTTATAAGTTGGAAGAGATGAATGCTGACGGTGTACAAGATAATTCTGGTATGGCCTCATTCATGAAGGACTTGACTAATTCCATTCCTGGTATCGACGAGGCAATGAGTTTCGCTGAGCTCATGAAGCAGGTGCAAAATATGGACTACTCGGTCATCGTATTTGATACAGCACCAACCGGCCACACACTGCGGCTGTTAAGCTTTCCCACAGCACTAGATAAGGCTTTTGACAAGATCATGTCCCTCAAGAACCAGTTTTCAGGGGTATTTTCTCAGGTCTCCGCGCTCCTGGGAGGTGCGTTGCCTTCTCAGGAAATGCTGCTTGGCAAACTAGAGCAAACACGTGAGGTCATTCAAAAAGTAAATGCGCAGTTTAAGGACCCGGAACGCACAACATTTGTGTGTGTTTGCATCCCTGAATTCCTGTCACTATACGAGACCGAGCGGTTAGTGCAGGAGCTCACGAAGTACGAAATCGACGTTCACAACGTCGTAGTAAACCAAGTGCTATACCCGGAGGAGGGCTCGAAATGCAAAAGCTGCAGTGCCCGTCAGAATATGCAGCAAAAGTATATTGACCAAATCTACGATTTGTATGAGGATTTTCACGTGGTCGAGATGCCACTGCTGACTGAAGAGGTTCGTGGCGTGCCGTCTCTAACAAGTTTTTCTAAGTACCTTTTAGCACCCTTTGAGCCCGATCACTAAAAACTTACTGCAGTGTGTGTCAAACAATATAATCACCACCAAGTTCTATATGTGGTTATTCACTGTCACTGTAATCAGCGACCAAGCTTGGAGCTGGATTTACAGGGTGCTTTATCCTACCTATCTTCTTCTTATCAACTGCATTCGACTTTGTTTTAACTGAAACAACCAGCTTGATTGGTGGCGTCACTAGAGTGTCATCTTTTGCTTCACCAGATATCAGTCTCGTGGGACCCTCACAAAAGTCTCCTACCGTTCGTTTTGGCGCAATCGTTTTCGGTTGCATCTTTTGCCTTTCCTTAAACGCACGATGAGCTGTTTCTCGGTCTTCCTTAAGCTGTTCAGCTTCTTTCTCAATGGTGATTTTGCCTACGTCTGCATGTTGCTGCAGCAATTTGTCCGTATCTACCTTAGCGTGACGCTGGTTAATGGCTTTGATTTCGTCCAGCGCGTCTAATATATCCATCTCACGCTTGGAGTCAAGAGTGCGATTTTCAAGAGCCTTCATGGCATCTCCTTTTTCCTCCTCAGCACGCTGAGTGATGGCTGCTTTTTCTTCATCCTCATTTTCTCTCCAGGGTTCAAAATTGCGCTGACAGCCGTGCTCGGCCACGTAATCTCCGCGCTTGGGGTCGGTCTTGAAAGTGATTTCAGACGAGCACGTTATACACTTAATGTAGAAGCGATAGATGCGAATACCGTGATAATTTTCCTCTAATACCTCTTCCTTGCGCGAGTTAAATTTCTTTCCACGGTACATGTACTCGCCACAGGTAGCGCACTGTATGGAGAACGGCAACATCATACGAACCTCCACCTGCTGATTTTTCGGTCGTTTGCGACGTGGCACTAGCAATGGATCAAAATCTGGTGGAAAATACTTGTTCAGCACCTTACGCTCGCCCATGTCGAGTCAGGTACGTAGACAAAAAGATGTGCCACGTGCGTAATAGTTTTTTTGGGAAATAGAAAAATTCACCAGATAAAACAATATATCAATTGTATACTACTTCGATGAAAATATACACATGGGCACGTATTTGCTATGTCACTACAGTGTGAGGATACATCAAGTAGGCATAAAGAGATAGCTAGAAAATAATTGAAAATAATTTGCCAGACAGCCATATAGATTACGCTTCATCACAGGTTTTGCTGTAATTCCTTACATTTTTGCAAACACCGCATTGACGAACCTGTTCCTTTTTAAGTCGAACAGTTGCGTGTTGTGACGGACTACGAATCTTCTTAACTCATCCACACTTTCTCAAAATTCGAGGAGGCTTACAATCACATGCTGACACCGAGTTTTCGATTGTAAGTGGAAGAATAGAATGTTCGCTATATGCTGCTGCAGATGTAGGTTTCTTCATGTAGAGTGATAATATCTTCATCATGAATTCAATCTGGATGTTTCAATGCGATAATTGCATGAGCGCATGGAGCAGCGATGTTTTCTGGAACTCCATACGAATAACAAACATTGATCTTAGTAAACTTTACTGTGAAGTGCACGACGACTTCTCTTCCCATTGCGATCAAGACAAAATAACTTGACAATAAATTAACAATCACTTCTGCATCTTCCATCCTTGCCAATTATTGTTCACCTTGGACGATGCATACTGGGTTAATTCACCCTGGTTGAGTACTTTTTTTGTATTTTCCAGCCATTTCAATCCTACATGGTGTTTAATTGCCACGAGACATTCAATATTGGTAGATCACAGATATTTCTGAGGATATATTTGATAGATTCGACACTGTTTGCCGTCCAAGTATTAGACCTTGGTTGTGTATTATACACAGTTGACCATATTTTCATGTCCAAAATCATATACCACTGAAACGCGCCACTCTTCATGTTTGTCAACTCGATCGATGACTTGGCAAATTCAGTGGCCGTATGAACACGTGCCGATGCCCATGCTGCATTTTAAATTCTCGCGACTTGTATTTCTAGTTGAAATTTTCATCAAATATCGAAAACATAAAAGATGAGGAACATGTGAGTTAGCTACCTTTAATGCTTGAACCAAACCTTTATCACGATCAGAGATGAAAAAAGATGCTGAAGGATAAAGATTTGATAGGTGATTCACTAATCAAGACTAATTTTTCTCATTCTCCACCGAAATAAGCTCAATCGCAATAAATTTGGATCTTGTTGTTCGTCTTCCCCAGCGCGGAAACAAGCAACTAATAAAATATCACCGACCAAAGTCGTCAAAAACGTTCCATTCACAGCAATCCTCGTGCGGAAAATTCCAGAAATGTGACAGACTTTCACGATATACACTGCACAATTTCGTGAAAACAACATTCTCAATGTCGTAAAATATCTTGTGACGTTGCAAAATTAGCTGTTTCGCGTATGATGGCACAGATTCATATTGCTGTACGTCATTACCAACATACTTGTTCTTAAGCCTCTTCAAAGCACTGACACAATTCATATACTCGGCAGATTTTGTGAGGATACACGTGTCGGATCATGACTTACAATAAACCGCCTCAGATGCTTATCCGAGACGACTGGTAGGTCGATCACCACAGGGCTATGCCTCAAAGGAAGTTGATGGGAGAAATTTTGATGTGACAATGTGATAAGTGTATTCCAAGAGATTTGATAGTTTTCTGGATCAATATTGGTGTTGCATTCCTCTTCGAATCCCTCATTAAAAATTATCGGATTATGGACAATTTGCTTGGCAGTATCAATCCCGTTAGTCACGTTTCCAGATACATTTAACCCAATCAACTCGCAGGAATGATCCACAGTTTCCAAACGATTGGGAAAACGCGAATTGAACAACTATTCTGCAACCCCCTTCTTGGGTGCACGCTACCTTGTAAGGTCTGGAATCACTTGAGAAACCTTAAGTGATCGAATATTCTGGTGACTGAAAGCAACGACCCTAAAAATGTTATGATTATTCTTGTTGATCGGAATGACTGCTTGCAGATAACGCCGATATTTCAGTGTCACTTTTCATTTTTAGCCAGCTAGACGAAGAAAGCTTAGACCACCACATGATCATACTTGGAAAACGATGAAGCAAATCTGTGTCATCTTGGTGTCACTAGCAACTCGATGGTACAAATTGTAAGTGGATGAATTTTAGCTATCAGGCCAATCCGGTGATGGTGGGGGCTGTCAATCAATTGATCGTGGCTTCAAATTCAAACGTTGGAATTTAATGAGGTTTGACTAATTTGATCTGTGGTTTAGGGTTCCACAGTATGTCTTCCCACAGACATGACGTCCCCACATCGTACTAGCCTGGTTGGTGAGGCATTTCTTATCCAATCTAGCTTTCATGACGACTTTGGAGGATTGCAAAATATCCGACAATATATATGGGTCGCGAATAATAGAACTATGAGTAATAGCTTGAAGTGAATGTGTGGAGAAATTCAAGATGACAAAGCCGAGAATATTTTCGTTTTGGACGGCGAGAGTTATACGCCTTTCTCATTGCTCGCCCTATGTACTATAGGGAGTTGCAGTATAGCAAGGTCGTTATTTTAGGTAGTAACCGCTTTCCATTTATATTCAAGTGGCTTCTTAAAGTATTAAGTAGCGATAATGCCAAGAGCTGTACAGATATATTTTGAGTCACTCAGACACTCGCACGTTAATTTATGACAATACAGTCTCCTAGAAATTGGAGCTATTGGGACCTTCATAAAACATTTGTTGACAAACGTCCGTTCACAAGAAGATTAATCACCTGTTACTCGTCGTAAGGTTTAGTAATGTCGGGCAATTTAATTCTGATAGCGGCGCGCGATCGCCTATAGGACCACACATCGTATCGTTATAAAATTGGAGAGTAACATTTTGTACAAAAATGCTACTCCATTTCGCAATTTCCCCCAATCCTTTAATTACAATTTTCATCCAGTTAAATATGAACTAGGACTTCTTCCGCGCCCACTTAGCACCTAAGTATCCCCCACTCGTCGGCGCTCTATGGTGGACTCGGATGCGAGTTCAGGCTCCAGCAGTAGCTCAAGCTCTGACTCAGTGCTCATCCGCGTGCCACTTGATCAAAATCGACGCAAAAAACTGCGCGCGCAGCTTCAAGAAGATCAGCGGCGTCAACTTGAACGGCAGTTATCAGCTGTTGATGCTACGAGCTTCAAGACGCTTAAATCTGACCCTGAAAGCGATCGCAGCAAGGTACTACATCTTTATGATTTGTTCTAATTTTTTGATAAGTGTTTACCGTTCGTTGTCATTTGCATCACAGGGAGAGCATATTTGCGTCGTTTGTGAGCGCGAAGGTGATGACCTGGTGATTTGTACTGGTCCTTGTATCTCTGCATTTCACGTCAGCTGTCTACCACCCGATTATAATGTCAGAGGTATTGCACACGGAGTGTGGCTTTGTCCCAGTTGCAAGAGCAAGACCCACGCGTGTTTTCACTGCAAACAAACGGGTGTTGAGACGCTGAAAGACGAGGCTCCAGCCTCGTCAAGCTCGGATATTGTTAAGAAACCGGTGCGAAAGTGTCGTGCGCTTTCATGTGGCAAATTTTACCATCAACATTGCATTACCCAATTCCCATTGGCCAGAATTGCCATTAATACGCATTTTATCTGTCCACTGCACACATGTGCGGGATGTAATCAATCAGGTGCACAACAGGAAGCAGTAAGGTGTATGCGGTGTCCTGTGGCGTATCATGCCAAATGTTTACCGGACGATTGTGTTCGGCAGATTTCGCCGAAGCTCATTATTTGTCCAAAACATGGGAATACACGACTTAGGAAAGAAGACAGACAGGAACGAAAGAGTGAAACTTTGACACAAATGAGTATGCTGCAAGCTCAGGACGAGAATGAAGATGAAGCAGTAAGTGAAGCATCCGCGGTGAGTTTAATTAGCGGAAAGAAGAAAAAGGAAAAGAAGGAAAAACGAGACAAAAAGAAAAAGAAGAAGAAAAAGAAGAAAGACAAACACAAAAGAGAAAGTTTAGCTTCACAAGCAGATAATGAACACGACGAAAAGCATGGAAAGAAAAGAAAGCGAAGTAAGAAAGATTTACTGGAGGCAGATGATAGCAGCCCATTGATACCGTCCACCCGTCACTTAGAATCAGTGATAGTCGTAACAGATCCCGAAACAACGCACGCTCCAGCAGTCATTGAAAGTCCAGCAACTGCTACTAAGCGAATCCAAGAGCGACTGGAAGAGGCTTTGGGTAAGAGTGATGATGAAGAGTCTGACGTGTCGACGGACAGTCGTCTGGAAGGTATGAGACGTCTCGATAGGCTTGAAAGTGAAATTGCATCAGATACCAAGATTTTTGTACGTGAAACGAGCTCAAATGAAGAGATAGCGCGACAAACTCGACCGCTGTCGATAGACGAAGTTAAGGATTCGATTAATTCTCCTATACCTCCTTCTTCAGCGCCTGCGAGTCCGTCAGGTGACCACATTTTTCTTGAAGTCCAATCGTCTGCAGAAGAAGATACGGCTGATTCAAAAAGTGTACAAAAGATGGAGCATAAGGCTGACGATGCGAGCATAAATCGTGATGAGAAAATGCCTATCAGCGAAGACACTTCAAGTCTGGTAACTCCGAAGTCGCCGTCTATAAACGCGTCGGATTTACCCACATCGAATAGTTTAGCAGGCACTCTGAGACTGAAACACGTCTCGAACGAAAAAGAAATTGATGATGAGGAAGGCACAGGATCAATAACACCTAGTGCTGATACGACACCGCGAACCCCTAGGTACTGCCGAGGATATGGAAAAAAAAGACGAAAGAATAAAGCTAAACGAGAAGCACAACGCGGAACGAAACGAGGCGTGAGTGAAGAAGACGATGAAGAAGTAAATGAGGCTAAGTGGGTTCAATGTGATAGCTGCAAAAAGTGGCGAACAGTGCCGAAAGATATTAATTTGGATGCGATGCCCAAGCACTGGTACTGCAACATGAACACGTGGGACGAACGATTCGCTTCGTGTGATATTGCAGAGGAAGTTTTAAAGGCGAACCCGTCTCCAAGCAGAGGTAAACGGAGGAACAAGCTTAAGATGAAGTCGAAGTCCACAGCGTCCAGCACAGGAGATGATGGTGGGTATTCATCGTGTGAGTCAGGTCCACTTAGACGACCAGGAGGATTATTAAAAGACCTTGCGGCAGGCGTGACAATGTCAGAAGAAAGAGATATTAATGCGAGGTCGAAATTCAAGGAAAAGGGAAAAAAGAAACGCAAGATGACGAAACAACTCAAGGAAAAGTATCGCGAGGTGAAGTGGGTTCAGTGCGAAAGCACTCAATGTGGAAAATGGCGCGTTGTACCAGCTTCAATCAACTTTGATCGTTTACCAGCAGTATGGTATTGTCACCTAAATACGTGGACTCCGGAGTTGGCGAAATGCAGCGCACCAAACCCGCCAGAAGTTGACACTTTTTGGCTGAAACAAACCAAGAAGAAGGATCGCCCTACTAAGAATACTAGAACTTCCTCGACCTCCGCAGACCTTACACCAACAGTATCAGTGTCAACCATAGCAAGCACTGGCATGACGCCGGTATCTTCAGCTACGGGCCTTGCAAGTTTGGGAAAATGGAATATGACCAAGCATGGTAAAAACTCTAAGTCGACAATGGTTGCAGCAGGGAATGAAATACCAATCAATAGTGGCGTGGAAACTATCAACAGTCATCCTATGAGTGGCGATAGCAGCACTGCTTTTCACGCTATGAAAGGAAAGGGAGGACGTGCGCTAAACACTACTAGTGGCGTGAAAAAGACGGTCCTAGAGTGGGCGCAATGTGAAAAGTGCAACAAGTGGCGCAAGCTGCCACAACACATCAAGTCATCCACGTTGCCCGATAAATGGTACTGCTCGATGAACCATTGGGACCCGTCACACGCTAAATGCAGTATTCCAGAGGAAGTGGATCAAGAGCCATTGCCATTGCCACCGCATCCTGGATCCCAGTGGCACAAAGGAGGACATAAAGGTCAGCGTACGAGGCGAGGCAGATTGAGTTACTCAGAGTTACTATACGGTAGTACTGGGCAGCTGCGAAAAGCGTATACTCGCGAATCTTCGACTTTATCGTTTGAGTACGAAGGTAGGATGTATTATCGTGATGACCAATACAAAAACAGCAGTATGTACGTGTCTCCAGCAGCAGTGGCGGCCGCTGCCACGATGGCAGGATGGAGTGGCAGTGATCGAATTATACAAGAGACAAGCTGTACAAAAGACGGCAAAGTAAATGCGCTTGCAGCTGCTACTCATCCTCAAGCAACTGTCGATCAGATTGCTGCCTTAGTACTAGAAAGCATGGATTTGCGCTGCCACCGGAGTGTCTCTGAGCTTTATACTGCTCTTAATTCATCCCAACGAAGACTCGAGACGGCTGCAACAGGCCTGACATCATTAGCTATGGTCACAGCTGCTTTGGGTCAATTAGAGCACCGTGGCTTGGTGGAAAAAGTGGATGAGCTCACGGACGAAGATGACGACCCTGAGTCACAAAAGCGGAGAAGGCTGGATGCGCTCCATTATAGCGCATTCTCTATACCCATTCGCTATCGGAAGGTGCCCACACGGCCTCTTAAAG